AAGTTGTAAATTTTGTGAGCTTCAAAACGATGGCTGCTTATCGTCTATGCCTACATCTCAGAATTCAGGCTCTCTCATTTTCCTAACCCTGCAGCCTTTCATTCGTGTTGCAAAGTCAGTTGAGTTTGGGGGAAGGGCTATGATCATCCTTGCTTTAAGGTTAAACTATAAACTGAATTTCTACCAAAGTTAACTTGGCCTACACCCAGGGATGACCAAGGGCAGCTTGAAGGTTAGAAGAAAGATGGAGTCAACTGTGTCATATTTCTCTTATTGTCATAAATTTGCAAAGGTAGTTTCAAGAGCACACTGCCTTCCAGATGAAGAGCAAGTTTAGGTGTGAAGGCGGAAGGCAGCCTGTCTTGGCTCAGTGAGACCAGAGAAAACGGGGGTAGAAGAAGAACTTGGAGGGGCAGACAGGGGAGCCGAGCCTTAATGTGGAAGGTTTCCATGACCACAGGTTTATTCAACACCTACTGTTTGCTGGGCACTGCAGGGACATCTGGGGATGACAATGCCATCAGGAAGAATGAAAATCGTGTTCCATAGTGTTGGGATTGGAGGAGCCTGATGAAAAGAGATAGACTTTAGCTAGATGGCTCTGAACAGGTAACCAAAAGTGATGCCACAGGGACCTGGGCTGCTGAGGACATGGTGGGAATGGAGAGGAGAAAACTGTTGACTTGAAAGAAGCGGGAAGTACTGCCCAGGCATGGGTGACACAAAATTCAAATGATTCAGAAATGGGCAGGTTTCCAAGCAGGGTGAGTGAGGGACTGTGGCACCCGAGATAGATGTGATCGCCAGGTGGGCAAGGCACTTAGCTGATCTCCTTGTCACACGAGGGTGGTAATAGTTTCCTGCCTACATTAGAGGATTGTTGTGAGATTCTGTGAGAATTTGTGTTTAAATCATTTAAAATGTATATCCAACATAGGATTAGAAAATGTTTTACTTTGTATGCTGGTTAGTAGCCTGCTGTCCTTTCGATAGTGACTTTAGCTCTTCATCATTCATTTCAGACACAGATGGTGGTTTTTCTACCTCTACATTCTATCATTTTTAGAACTATTAGCCCCAGATGCCAACACTTTAGCCACTGCTCTGCTTCTGTGTGCTACAACTGTTCTCTGGGCCACGGACAGTTACTGTGTGTGAAGCACTTTCTATTTGCAGTATTAGCTCTCTACCTGGGGGGTTTCTAATCCCAACAATGGCCTCTCCAGCCCTGATGGGCAAGGTCAAGTTGTTCTGTCTCATTCCGCCGCTGACGAGTGGGACAAGGATAATCACATGATGAAGGCAGGACGTCAATGTCTGCCCATGGCATTTCTGCCTTTCCTGTGGAGAGTCCTCAGACGGTTACAGAATGAGCATCCTGTTTATCTTGCATCCTTATTTTGCATAGACAAATTGATTTTCGGTAACTGGATTTTTAATGCTATGTTAAAGCATCTTTGTGGTTGCACTTACAAAGAATAGCAGTATGGGAAAATGAAATGAGCCAGTAAAGGGAGGAGAGAAAGTGAGAGAGGAGGAGGAAGAACTGAAGTCGTTGAAGATCCAAGCCCTCCCCTTCTGCTTTCCCTATTTTGGAACCTCAGTTCTCAGCGGCCCTCCCTGGCTGTCTTGCCTTTGCTGATGCTGCCACAGAGCCTGGACAGAGGCAGGTGATGGAGACACAGAGTAAGGAGAGGAAAAGATATCCTCCAAGAGGCCTTAGGGAAGCTAAAGAGGTGGGGTGAACCCGCTAACTCCTACCTGCTGGCCCAAGTCTTTTTCTCTCCCTGTATCATTTCCAATTCAGCTTTATTTTTTGCTCAGTTGCCTAAGCTTTTGGCAATGTCTCTAACCCATTTGGCATCATGAGTTTAAATGGGAATTCAAGGACTGAACCCTTCCTTTCGATTTCTCTCTTTCTCTTGGTATTCAGACGTCTCAGGTCTCCATGGAGTGGAAAACTGAGTATGGGTGTTCCCACCAAAAAGGTGCCCTGAGACTCACTGCCTGAGAGACAACATACTCCAGCTCAGTCTTGTGTTGAAAGAAAAGCTAGAATTATAGAAAAAAAAATGCTGCACATTTGCATGATAAAATGGACTAGGCATAAATTTTTCAGAGGAATTTGAAATAGAAAATATATGTACCATATAATCTTCCCTTGCTCACGCAAGCTCCACTGCAGTGAGCTGAGATCCGGCCACTGCACTCCAGCCCGGGTGAAAGAGCGAGACTCCGTCTCAAAAAAAAAAAAAAAAAGACACATGTAATATAATAATTATGGGTGTTAGTAATACCAGTTAGTACATGGCACCCAATATTTATTAATCATTATGTAATTAATTTTGTTAGTTTACTTTGGATGATTCCTCTAAGGAATATATGTGACCACATATTATTAATTCTCATAACATTCTTGGGAGCTAAATATTGTAGTTCAGAGGTAATGACACCTCAGATATTAACTGATTTGCCATACAAGCAAGGGACAAGAGTGAAAAAAAAAAAAAAAAAGCAGGGGGAGAATTAACTTGGACAATAAACCAGTTCCAAAATGAAGACAACTTTCCAAAGCATGGGAGGAGATGTCATTTACAACAGGACTCAATCATGGTTTGGCAGGAAAGAAAGTCTATCACAAGCTAACTGTTCTAATAGATTTGAGTTTCTCTACATGTAACTCTTTTTGGCACTAAGCCAGAAGCAGCAATGACTCTGTGTGTGTGTGTGTGTATGTGTGTGTGTATGCGTGTGTGTGTATGCATGTGTGTGTATGCGTATGTGTGTGTGTGTATATGTGTGTGTATGTGTGTGCTTGCGTGTATGCATGTGTGTGCGTGTGTGTGTGTGTGTATGCATGTGTGTGTATGCGTATGTGTGTGTGTATATGTGTGTGTATGTGTGTGTATGTGTGTGCTTGCGTGTATGCGTGTGTGTGTGTACGTGTGTATGCGTGTGTGTGCGTGTGTGTATGTGTGTGTATGCATGTGTGTGTATGCGTATATGTGTATGTGTGTATGCATGTGTGTATGCGTGTGTGTGTGTATGTGTGTATGTGTGTGTGTGTATGTAAAATGTACTCACTCATCCACTTAACTAATGTTGATTGGCCACCTAATTCATAACAGGCACAGTGGGAATAGAATAATGAGCAAAACGAAAAATCCCTGCCTTCATAACATATATGCTCTAGGATAATACATAAGCAAGTGCTCAAATCATCTATTCATTTATACATGGACTCCAAAGTTTATGTGTGTGTATATATATGTATTGTATTGAATTATTTACTTCTTTCCTAGCTGCAACACCATCTTAGTAGTACAATAATCACAATCTATAGTTCCCCAGCCATTTCGGCTTCCATTAATCTTTTCAACTTCTCCTCCAAGGGACCTGCATAAGGCTGAATGTTAACTGAAAACCATAATAAAGAACCCTCTTGTGTTGGCCCCTGACTTAAACCCAGACAACATTTAAGAGTGGATTCTTTGCTTTAGGTTCAAGATGATGAACAAAGGAAACACGAGAAGGTGCCACTCGAACCTGAGTCAGGGAACACAGCTGAGTCCTCGAGGCAGGCCAAGATTCATACCTGAAGATTTCTCCAGAAATAGGACCTCAAGCCAAAGCCAAAGGCATGAGTAGAACCATAGAGCCCAAATGGGTGGTTATGGGTAGGTCTTTTTAAAGATTATTATCAGGTAAAATTATACAGGACCTAAATTTTATCATTTTAACCAGAGTACAGTTTCATGGCATTAAGTACATTGACAGTGTTGTTTTATCATTAACACTGTCTTCAGGACTTTTTCATCTTCCTGAACTGAAACTCTATAACCATTCAGCAATAACACCCCAACCTCCTGTTCCCCCAGCCCCCGACAACCACCATCTAATTTTTTGTCTCCATGAATCTGACTCCTCAAGGAACCTCACATAAGTGGAATCGTATTTGTCCTTTTTTTTTGAGATAGAATCTTGCTCTGTCACCCCGGCTGGAGTGCAGTGTTGCAATCTCAGCTCACTGCATCCTCCACCTTCCTGGTTCAAGTGATTCTCCTGCCTCAGCCTCCCAAGTAACTGGGGCTACAGGCGTGTGCCACCACGCCCAGCTAATTTTTGTATTTTTAGTAGAGACAGAGTTTCACCATGTTGGCCAGGCTGGTCTCGAACTCCTGACCTCAAGTGATCCACCTGCCTTGGCCTCCCAATGTGCTAGGATTACAGGTGTGAGCCACCATGCTTGGCCTGTATTTGCCCTTTTGTGACTGGCCTATTTCACTCAGCATAATGTCTTCAAAGTCCATCCATGTTGTAGCAGGTGTCAGAATTTCCTTCCTGTTTAGAGTTTGAATAACACTCCATTGCATGCATGTACCCCATTTTGTTTATCCGTTCACCCACTGTGGGTTGCTGCTACCTTTTGGCTACTGTGAATAGCACACAACGAACATGGGTGTACACATCTGCTTGAGTCCCTGTTTTCATGAGAAGTGAGTATGGTGAGGAACCAAAAAGTGAGGAACAAAAGGTGAGAAGCTGCACAGCAGACAAATTAAAGGTGGTCTGAAGGAATTCCCAAGAAAGAAACGCTGAGATCAACAGTTGCCTTTCACACATTCCCAGTGAGGGCTCTTGCGGGCAGACTCATTTGTGTAAAGAGACCAGGAACAGCGAGCAATCTGCTTTCATTCTTTAACACATCTAAAATATTTCTCCCAATTCCCTTTATGACTGAAGATATACATTTAAGAACCATCCGGCTGAGATGAGGAAGTGCAGTATGTGGCTACAGCCTCAGACTCATTAATCGTTCAAGAAATATTTGCCAAGTACGTTATGTGCCAGTCATCCTACTATGTGCCTGGGATGGACCTGTGAACAAATCATACGAAAACCTCTGCCCTCGAGAGGCCATCATCCTATTGAGGGAAGACAGACAGTAAAGCATACATACAATAATTAGGCAACTGACATAATGCTACACAGCAGCATCCTTGTATCCATTTGCTCATTCATTTATTTAATCATTCAACAAATATTTACTGAATATCTATTATGAGCAGATCCAGGAGAGAGCTGTGCATAGAACATCTTCCTTGCTCTTTGGAGCTGAACTAACCAGCATTCTACACACGAATCATAGTGTATTGCATTTTATTTTCTAGCACCAGTAATCGTAATGAAGAAGATGTGAAATGATGATTTGAACTAAAGAAGACTGAAAGGTATGTTCAATTACCAGAAACTCAATTGTAAGATCAATTAGAATCTCTATAAGTCCTACTCATAGAGAATTTGCCTTCAAAAACTAGGAGAACATAGATGCAGGCACTCCTTGATGCGTTTTTTGTATAATTTCAGGTCTATTTTTCAGTTTCATTGCAATTATAAAACGACAAGCAAGCACTCCCAAAAGCCTGACAAACATCACTGGATTCTAAAAGGGGTGTTTATACATATTTACATCTCAATGGTAATAACTCTTTTATGCTTTTCACTTTGGAATATTATAATACCAATATCTAGTCGGAAAGCATAGGCATAAAATTACACATAAAAACTTATATGGTATGATGGTGAGAAATATTCTTTTGTATACAAGTGTAATTTGACATTCCTTAAAGAACAGTGTGTAGTTCAAAGCTGCAAAAGAGAAAGGAACATTGATAAACTACCGAGGGATTAAAAAGCAGAAACGAAGGCCCATCATCGGGTTCGACTAATAAGTGTATTTCATCCTCCAGCTAAGAAGCTGTGGTGGGCAGAAGGCCGGCTAGGTCGCCTTCACTCTCTTCGCTGTTCTCACTGGAGTGAGGTCAGAGGCTTCCCACAGGAGCACAGCCCGTCCCTTGGAGGAAGGAGCGACAGAGCTTGGCTAAGAGGGGAAGAAACATCACATGGCCCTCACCGCCCACCCCTCACTTCCCTCTCTGTGGTTCCTCTGATGCTTCCGCTTTCTCCATAGGCAAAAAGGCACCTGTGTGTCACCCGTGCACCTGTGTGTTGAGTCTCTCATGGAACATAACGTTGTATATTCTGAGAAAGATGCGATTGCTAGATGGATCATAAGCAGCCTCAGTCCCTTCCTAAGAGAAATGGATTCAACCTCCTATCATTTTCCCCCAAGTTTCTGAAACTGTGTGGCCATGTGGGTAAACCCTGGTCAAAGCCCAGGAGGAGAGAAAAGCAGCAAGGCCTTGGGAGGGTCCCGAGAAGGCACCAGTGACAGGTCAGTGGCGAAGGGAGAGAATGGAGGTCTAGGTGCCACAAGAAAGCAGCCACTGGAACTAACTTACCTGAACATCTGGCTCCAGGTCTGTGCCCAGCAAACTGCTGTGATAGAAAGACAGTTATACCAGACTCGCCAGTTGTGTGGACTTTGCCTCAGTTTCCTACTGGTGACATGGGGTGATTGTGAGGATTGAAGGATTAATCAAAGAATGCAGGCAGTAAGTATCAGCTTTCATCCTAGCCTGAGTAATCATGGTCAAGTCAAAACCCCAGCTCCTCTGTGAGCTGGCCTCTCCAAGTTCTCAAGCACCGTAAGTGCCTGGGCAGAAAGGAGCTCTGCAGTGCCTCTGAGGGATTGTCTCCAGATGCAGGTCAGGTCCACGATGGTGTTTTCACCAGTCCTCCACGGAAGGAAAAGGAGGGAAATTTTGTGGGCATCTGTGGAAGATAGCCCACTGTCTTTTATTGGGAAGGAATGACCCTTTTTGCAGGATTATTGACTTCAGAGCTGCCCGTGGCATGCAGGCTGTCACTGGACACTGCCTCAGGGATCCATCCATGTTGACCACGTGAACCGTGGTGCTTCCTGGAGCTATGCAGCATGGCAATCTGGCATGCTCATTTGGTGACAGTGGATCACGGTTGGTTTTCTCCTTTTCCTCTTCTTCCTCCTCCTCACCTCCTTCTCCTCCTCAGTGTCCTCACTGGCAATGAGATGAAGAAGGAAAAGCCACCAAGGATGCAGCTCACGAGCCAGTCTTCCATCAGCCCTGGGAATAGAGTCCCAGCCCGGGCAAGGATGGAGAGAAGAGAGAGAGACAGAACAAGTTTACAGTCTGTTTCCAAATGGATGTCGCAAATGAACTTAACAAAAGTCACCAAGAAACCTCGGGCATAAGAGAAAGAAATGGGGAGATACTAGAATATACACCTACATTCCCTTTGTCCTATCCAGAAACAAAAAATGACATCCTCAAGTCGTTTGTGGTAGCCAATGGACATGACAAAGGTACGCACCTGCATTCTGAAGCAACTCACTTAAATATATCATCCTCCCACTCACTTACTACACTTGCTTTTCCATTTCTATCCTTTAATATATTCCATTTCTATTTTTTATTTTCAAGTTTTCCCTGTTTTATTGATATATAAAGATTTACATATTTATGAGGCACATGTGAGTGTTTGCTCCATGCAAAGAATGCGTAATGATCAAGTCAGGGTAATAGGGAAATCCCACACCTTGAGTGTTTATCATTTTTGTGTTGGCTTCAAGTCCTCTCTTTTAGTCACTCTGAAATATGCATAACATTGATGCTAAGTATCATCACCCTAGTGTGCTATCAAACATCTGAACTTATTTCTTCCATCTAACTATATGTTTGTACCCATAACCAACCTCTCTTCATCCCTCTTCCCCCACCACCCTTACTATTCTTTTCTTTTTTTTAAAGACAGGGTCTGGCTTTGTCACCCATGCTGGATTACAGTGGCATGATCATAGCTTACCACATCCTGGAACTCCTGGGCTCAAGTAGTCATCATATCTCAGCCTCCAAGTAGCTGGGACTACAGGTGTGAGCCACCATGCCCAGCTCATTTAAAAATATTTTGTTAGGCTGGGTGCAGTGGCTCACACCTATAATCCTAGCACTTGGGAAGCCAAGATGGGAAGATTGCTAGAGGTCAAGAGTTCAAGATCAGTCTAGTCAATGTAGCAAGACCATATCTCTAAATAAATAAATAAATAAATAAATAAATAAATAAATAAATAAGTAAATAAAATAAAATAAATTGTTGTTGTTAAGGGATGAAGTCTTGCTAAGTTGCCCAGGATGGTTTTGAACTCCTGGCCTCAAGAAATCCTCCTGCCTTGGCCTCCTAAAGCAATGGGATTATGGGTGTGAGCCACCAGGGCCGGCTACCATTTCTATTCTTATAAGAAGCAACTAAACAGGGCGTCAGGATGACATAGTAAGAGGAGTATAGGTTTGGAAAGCAGGGTTCCTAACAGGCGGTGAGTGGGACACTTACCAATGGCAAACCTGAGAAGTTAATTTTCTCAAGGAAACCATATTAGATGTTCCCTAAGGAGAGCATTTTGAGATTGAATATAAACTTTCTCAGCCACATCAAAAAACCTGGCAGTGAAGCACAGGGCATTTGGCACATTGAAGGGTGATCATTGGGCTGAGCCTCTGCCCTGTGCTCCTAGACCACAGTCCTACAGAATCAGCTTCTATAGACTGCAACCATTTGATCTAAATGCCAGAGCCTGGGATGCTCAGGGAAGATAAAAGCAAGGGTCATATCTATGTTCCTTTATTTCCCATCCATTGAACAGCTGTTTAATGGGCACCTCCTAGGTTCCTGGCTCTGGATGGGGTCCTGGGAGCCAGACACACAAAACAGACTTCCTCTCTCCAGAGTGTTCACAGTGGGATGGGGATCAGACAAAGCAAGTCCACGGCGGTGCGACTGTACTTGAAGCATGAAGCGGGTATGTCCCATGCCAACCACATCTCCGTAGCCCGGCGGGACAAGACGCACAGGACTTCCCTGATAAGAGAAAAACAGTCCTCTGATAGCACCTGGGGATACACACTGCTATCTTCAGTGGCTATTTGGAGGGATCAAAATCAGTTGATGCCTTAACTCACGGCAGAAGCAGCTCTGCTTCAGTAAAGAAAACCAACAGAAGTTCACATTGCAACTGCGCTGTTTATGACCCAGAGGAATCCATCAGGCCTCCTGGGCTCTAGGGTTTCCCTGCTGGAAAACGATCCTTTTCATCTCAGGGAAGACAATTATTATTATTATTATTATTATTATTATTATTATTATTTTGAGACAGAGTCTCACCCTGTCACCCAGGCTGGAGTGCAGTGGCATGATCTCGGCTCACTGCAACCTTTGCCTCCCAGGTTCAAGCGATTCTCCTTCCTCAGCCTCCTGAGTAGCTGGGATTACAGGCGTGCACCGCCACTATGCCCGGCTAATTTTTGTATACGGGGTTTCACCATGTTGGCCAGGCTGCTCTCGAACTCTTGACCTCCAGTGATCCACCTGCCTCAGCCTCCTAAAGTGCTGGGATTACAGGCGTGAGCCACCGTGCCAGCCTTGGGGAAGACAATTCTCATTCAATTATTCAAGTCATTCTCTCTCTCTCCTCTCTTACTCTCCCGCCCTCTCCCTTTCTCTGTCTTCCTTTTTCTCTCTCTCCTTCTCTGCCTCTTTCTGTCTTCTTTTCTCTCTCCCTCTCTCTCTCTCTGTTCCCCTCCCCCAATTCTGCCCCACCACCTGTCTTTGAGAAGAGAGAAGGGACAGCTGTGTTCCCTCCCTAGACACCCACTGGGGCTGCAGGACCAGGAGGTGGGCCAGTTCTGCTGACATCCGATGCTAACAAAAAGCACCCGCGAAGCCGCTGCTCAGCCTCTCCTGGCTGTAGGAGGAATCGCTGCTGTGGAACATGAAAAATTAATTAGGAGAAGATGAGTGCCTGGGCCTCCTTTCCTCTTAGACCCAACCGAATCAATAAAATCCTCAGCTCCTGCCAATAAAAGGCAAAATTGTGCATTACCCATGGACAGCCAGAGAGCTGTCAGAATTACAGAATATTTGAAATTGGAAGGCCCCTAAATGTCCCCAAATTGTCCAAAGAGTCTTCGTGATTTATTCACTGACACAGTAGGTTGGTGGCAGAGGCTTGGTTCACACCTGTATCTCTGAATGGACTTGGACCACATGAGCCAGAATCAGGAATCCTCCTGCCCTCACAAAATCATGGAGAGGAAGGGCGAGGGGGCTGCTAGCTGCAAAGAAACTCTAACTCCCTTTCCCTAGAGAAATGCCTCCAAGTAGGAGTGGAGAGAAAGAAAGAACACACCTGCACTCGCCCACTGCCTTGGCGCTGCCTTGGCCGCTGGATATACGGGTCTCCTCGACGCCCTCTGAGTAACAACAGAAACAAGAAATGAATCCTGGACAGGGGTGGCCAGGGAGGGCCTGCGAGGAGGCACAGCCAGTCTGCCACCTGCCACACTGCACCGATCTCTCCTGCGCGCGATCAGCCAGCAAGGCACGTCCAGGGCCTGCCTGGGTTAAGTGGCTCTCAGATGAGGTAATAATGACAAGGCTCTCCTGAGTTTTCCAGGCATGGAGTCAGGTCGCCTTATTTAGTCTGATCGTGAAAACCATTCTTTAAATATCCTGCTATGGGAATTTATGATGCCTTTTGAAGCTTTTTATTTAACCGGTAGTGTTTTCTTCCTCTTTTCCAGAGCTGCGAGGATGGGAAAAACTGCTTCCTTCCACCATGTATTCTGGTGTTGAAAACTCGACCTCAATGTTAGAGAACACACAGCGCCTGGCCCTGCTCCCCTTTCTCTTCACAGCAGAAGTCACTGAGTGACATGGGTGTCAGGCGCCCTTGGGCTTGTGGGGGAAATGAGGACACTGATGTGTAGAAAGCCAACAGCCAAGGAGAGGACAGAGGCCACCCTGCGTAGATGCTGCCTCTGCAGCAGGTGATGAGGAGCTATTCTCCCCTCTTTGGCTTTATCAAAGCTGGTGAGCACAGTCCTGTCAGCAGGCGGACGCGAGGGGACGTGGGTCAGGCGTGTCATCCACGGGATGGGCAGGGGCCTGGCGCCAGCAGCAACCCACATCTCCATTCAAGGGCATGGGCACAGGGTCATGGAGCGTGTGTGACTGATTTGGCCATGCCAGAAAGACAGTGCTGGGGAGAAGAACAGCAAGAGGTCGCAGATGCTTCTCACCATCTGGAATTTTCACAACATTCTACTTTCCCCAAACCTCTTACTGGCAAAAGTCTTATCATCAATCATAACGAACTTTGAGTTCATTAAATTGAATTTTATGTTAATATAATTTTTTTTGAGACAAGGTCTCGCTCCGTTGCCCAGGCTGGAGTGCAGTGGCACAATCATGGCTCATCGCAGCCTTGAACTCGAGGACTCAAGCGATCCTCCCACCTCAGCCTCTCACGTAGCTGGGACTACAGGCACATGCCACCATGCCTAGCTGATTTTTTAATTTTTTGTTGAAACGAGGTCTCACTATATTGCCCAGGCTGTATGTTAATATAATTTCCAAACATGAGGGCTAGGTGTAAAGACAGCAACAATTGCATTAAACATGAATGACATCTGTGTAATGCTGTGAGCTGTTACCTGTACTTGTTTTTTCTTTTTTTGTCTTTTTTTTTTTTTTTCTAAGATGTAGTCTCTCTCTGTCACCCAGGCTGGAGTGCAACAGCATGATCTCAGCTCACTGTAACCTCTGCCTCTCAGGTTCAAGTGATTCTCCTGCCTTAGCCTCCTGAGTAGCTGGGATTACAGGCGAGTGTCACCACACCTGGCTAAATTTGTATTTTTAGTAGATACGGGGTTTCACCATGTTGGCCAGGCTGGTCTTGAACTCCTGACGTGAGGTGATCCACCCACCTCAGCCTCCCAAAGTGCTGGGATTACAGGCATGAGCCACTGCACCCGGCCTGGTACGTGTACTTTTGTGTAGGTGTGCAGTGACCACATACCCAACAGCCGCTTCAAGTGCACATAAGCACTTCCTCTCTTCTAACCATAGGACCAGCCCAAACTGGGCCTACTCTGTCGGGTTACCATGTAGGTATAACACAGTTAGAAACTGCAAGTCATGTAGCCCGAGCAATAGGAAAGGTGTTGAACCCTAATAACACCCAGAACCAATAATTCCTTCCATCAGAACCAGAAGACTAGGACATGACCAGAGCCTGAATGCTGGAACTATTTCAGATGCAAGGAGTCCATTGGCCCCAAAGATCAGGGATAAAATCTGCCTCAACATACCCTACCATAAATGGTAAAATGTGAAACCCTCCAGTCAGACCCTACCAAGCCAACTATTCCTAAATCCTTTTCCAAGGCCTGTGTGCCCTTAAAACTTGCCCCAGGCCCCCAGTGGAGGAGACACATTTCAGCCTCCCTCCTGTCTCCTTGCTGGCCCGTCTTGCAATAAAGCCTTTTTTTTTTTCTCAAAAGTCCATGCCATAGTATTGGCTTCTGTGTGCATCGGGTAGAGAGCCCATCTGCTCAATACAATTTTCATCTGGGCCCCAACCATTGCCCTTGTCAGAGCACCTTGAGGAAGCTCCATGTGCTCGTTCCAGGGACATCTCCCCTCCCCAGAAGGCCCCATCAACTGAGGGCTTCAGCAGAGGTTGGTGATGCCAAAACCTAAGTGTCTGCTGGAGTCAGCTTGCAGCTTGCCCCTGCTACAAGAGAGAACCATGGCCCAGAGACTCTGTAATGTCAACTATCCTGGGCTCTAGCCAAACACTCTAGGCCTGGACATTTGACTCATCTTCCACTGAAGTAAGCCATGAAAACGAATCCCTTCAAGTCTCTCAGCCCTGTTCACTTTAGCCACCCATGAGAAGCTCACACTTCCCATGCAATGGCACCCTGATTTCTTTTCTTTTTCTTTTCTCTTTTTTTTTTTTTTTTTAATTCAGGATCTTGCTGTTAGGCTGGAGTGCAGTGGCACAATCAGGTCTCACTGCAGCCTCAAACTCCTGGGCTCAAGCAATCCTCCCACCTCAGCCTCCTGAGTAGCTGGGACCACAGCTGCCACCACACCCAGCTAACTTTTAAAAAATTATTTTTAGTAGAGACTGGGTTTCACTTTGTGGCCCAGCTGGTCTTGAGCTCCTGGGCTCATGTGATCCTCCTGCCTCAGCCTCCCAAAAGTGCTGGGATTACAGGCATGGGCCACCATGCCTGGCCTGACCTTTATTACTATATTCTTCATAACTGCCTAATGTGAGCTGCCTCTCTCCTCCCATCTTTTTTTCCTGGGAGTTTTTTGTTTTTGTTTTTGTTTTTGTTTTTGCCTTCAAAACAATTCCTTCACTATCATTTCAGGGGGGAGCAATGGTAAACGTGTAGGCTTAAATTGCCATCCTTACGCAGAAGCCTCCAGTCACCTGTCTTTACTTGGGCCACTTCCAGTAGTCCCTCCCCTGAGCCTTCTCTGATTCTTTGTTGTTGTTGTTCTGTTTGGTTGGGGTTATTTTTGTTACATTTTGTTTTGTTTTGTAGAGCCAGGGTCTCCCTCTGTTGCCAGGCTGGAGCCCAGGGGTGCCATCACAGCTCACTGCAGTCTCAACCTTCTGGGCTCAAGCAATCCTCTCACCACAGCCTCCTGAGTAGCTGGGAATAGAGCCGTGAGGCACCACACCCAGCTAATTTTTTATTTGACATACTGATGACATATTAATCTCTCAAGGCCCAGTGGGAAGGTTTGGGTGAGTTGGGGAGAGTGATAATGAATTAAAAGACCCGAGAAAGCTGAATGTTAAACCAGTATTGAAGGAGGCCAAGAATCAATCCAGTTAACACCAGAGAATCCCCAAAGTCACAAGAATTGGTGGTGGTGGTTACCTCTAGAATACAGGTATGTGTGTTTGCACATGTGTGTGTGCATGTATATGTGTGTGTGCATGTGTGTGCATGTATGCATGTGTGTGCATGTGTGTGTGTATGCATGTATGCGTGTGTATGTGTGTGTAAAGGCAGGTCTAAATGAATGGTGCTAAGCTGCTTATGAGTTAGATGCTGAGATCCTCTCCCCAACTCCCTCCATAGAGATGGGTGGATGCACCCTGTCCATCCCGGCAGGAGACGGGAAGCTTGTTCTCTGAAGAAGGTCCCTGAACTAGAGATGGAGGCCCAGCTGGGAGTGTGGGCACCATACAGAGAGCAAAAGGGTTAAGTGAACACTTATTTACAGATGCTGAAATCCCCACCCCTTTTCCCAAACTCAGCTCCCAGAATGCTGGTGGCACATCCTACCCTCTCTAGGTAGGATATTGGAAGAGCGTTCACAGGGGCATCTGACTATCCCCATAAGAAAGACTTAATGCTACTGATGTTTTTCCAATGTAACAGTCCAGCTACTTTCCTTACAGTGATTCCTACAATTCCACCAGCCCCACCAACAAACTTAGAGCTTTCAACAGTCTTTTTAGTAAGCCACTCTTAAAAACGAGCAACCAAGAAAGCCAGGAATTTGAGAAAAGCCCCTAAAATAGGTGTTAGAAACCAGAATAACAAACAGCAAAAGGAAACTTAAAAGAAACAGAGGTTACACAAGAAGAAGAAAATGCACAAACTTCTCTTTAGTATCATCAGAGAGAAAAGATACTGCTTTCATAAAACAAAAACAGAATGTTTTCAGACAGGAACATTCAGAGAAAAGAAAAGTACTCTTAAAAATTAAAAATATGAGAAATTTAGCAGAAGCAAGGAAAGATAAAGTTGAAGCATTCACTCAGAAAGTGAAGCAGAAAGAAAAAGAGATAGATCATAGAAGAAACGATAAGAAAACTAGAGTACCAATTTAGGAGCTCTAACACCCAAAAGTAGTTCCAGGAAAGAGAGAAGACATGGGAAGAAATTATTTAAAAAAACAACAACAACAACATAATTTCCTAGAACGAAAAGGATTTATTTTTGTAAGGGCACAGGAAGTACCCAGGATATTGTCATAAAATTTCAGAATACCAGAGACAAACAATGGAGCAGAAATCAAAATGGCACCAGAAAGAGATGGCAATGCGAAATGTCTTTAAAATGTAAAAGGTATATTATTTCCAACATAGAACACTTTATCCAGTCACATTATGAATCAGATTTCAGGGCATAGTCGAGTTCTCCAGAGAGACAGAACCAATGGAATATATATGTAGGCAGAGAGTGATAAAAGAGCATCTATTCGAGGAATTTGCTCACGCAGTTATGGAGGCTGAGAAGTCCCATGAAAGGGCATCAATAAGCTGGAGAAGCAGGGAAGCCAGCAGCATGGCTCAGTCCAAGTCTGAGAGACCTGAGAACTAGGGAGGCCCCTGGTGCAAGTCCTGGAGTCCAAAGGCCTAACACTCTGATGTGCAAGGTCAGGAGAAGAAGGGCATTCCAGCTCCAGAAGACAGGGGGTGAATTTGCCTTTCCTCTGCCTCCTTGTTCTACCCAGGCCGCCAGCTGACTGGATGGAGCTACCCACACTGAGGTTGGATCTTCTCCCCTTAGTCCACTGACTAACATGCCAATATCCTCTGGGAAAATCCTTACAGACACATTACAAAATAATGCTTTATCAGTTATCTAGTTGCCCTTAATCCAGTCAAATTGACACCTAAAATTAACCATCAATCACATAGGATAAAATAAATGTTTCAATGTTATAATGTGTAAAGTCTTATAAATTTACCTCTCACAAACCATGGGAACGTCAATTATCCGAGGAAGCCATAAAATACTGAAAGAAACAAAAGAAAAGAAAAAGACATGGCCATAGGAAACAGGGTGATATGGTTTGTCTCTGTGTCCCCACCCAAGTCTCATGTTGAATTATAATTCCCAGTGTTGTGGGAGGGAGCTGGTGGGAGGTGACTGGATCATGGCGGTGGATTTCCCCCATGTTGTTCCCATGATAGTGAGGGAATTCTCACGAGATCTGGTTTTTTAAGAGGGTGTGGC